CACAGGGTAATTTTTGTTGAGCTGAGATCAACGGCTAATATCCTTGCCACCAAAGCACACTGTTGTTTTTTGGAAACAAATTTGCACTTTCAGTAGCACAGAGTGTGCATCTTCAGCATAGACACTCCTCTTGGGACACACAAATGTTGGTTGAACAACTACATTCAATACTGGAGCAACATTAATAGATACACTGAACAATGAAAGCACTGTAGGAAAAGGAGGAACAATTTTTGCAGCTACTTCCTCTAAAATACTATGCTGATTTTGTAACATCACCTGAAAATTAGCAAATGTCTGCAATCATTGCCTGGGAAGCACAGAATCAACACCCAGCATCTTACCAGCAGCAGATACACAGCCCTCCTCAGCTGGCTGAGCTAGAAAAAGGAACAGTCCTGTGCTGTTTGCAGCCAGTCTGTGTAACTAAGCAAAACCTTTGAAGGATTCCGAAACAGTCCATGCTACAGAAGACACACTTCACCAGTGCAACGTCTACTGATCAGCTGAACACATCCTGAAGTTCGGGTTTTAATTTTTGCTATGCATATGAGGATATAAAAAGGAACTATCCCTACAGTTATCCATTTTAAAATCTCACAACTTGTATTTCAAACTAAAGAGCTACCACCGTTGAAAACACTATCATGCTACAGCTCAAGTATTGTAACTGACATCAGACTCTTACAGTAAGAGAGAACACATTTGCTTTGGCCTCACTGAATAGCAGAGCGTGTATACCTGTATAGCAACTTCCCTCAAATATACAGAGCCCTACAAAATGGTCTGGGGAGTATTTTTTCTTAACTCCAAAGATCAAAGCCAATGCATTTTAACTATTTCTTGCCACCAGACTAAGAACAAATTTGGTATGGCTTATGATGCACAGGCACCTGTTAATCCTGACTGTGTAACAGCACTTGTGCTCTTTATGAAGTCCTCGAAAAAGAGCTATTTGTCACAAAATCATTTTAGCAATGAGAACAGCACGTTCAATCCTACTCAAAGAGGACTGGTGCCACAAAGGCCTGGACCGGCCTGGACGTTCATCAGGGGATCCTCTGAGATTTGACACTTGAAGAAACATTTTCTGCACCGTGCATAAAAGAATAAAGCATATTTACTAAATGCAGCATAACATAAAAACCAGGCCTAAGCACACTACGGGGAAGTGCTCCACACAATTACTGTTCGCCTGTTCCAGCTCCGGTGTCCACATAAACATGCTGTTTCCTCCCTCTGGTTTCCCACATTTTGCAGGGCCCTGAACACTTCACAGTAGCCCTGTCTTCCTCTGTCACCAAATCAATACCCATAAATTTAACACATACTAAAATAAAAATAGAAGTTTCCCAGGCATCATCACTAGCAAATATCACCTCCCGTGCACAACAGGCTTAAAAGCCATTTGAAAAATCAAGTGGTTTTGGAAGTTGGATTTTGTGTTTCAGTCCAACAGTGTCAATAATAAAGATTATAGCAAGAGTTCCGGTCAAATTAGTTTTTCAACGTCAATACTTGATATAGTTACAGGATTACAAACTTTCCAGATACTTTTCACAGCTGATACCATTTGGATACTGCACTCCTACGAAGAGACACTGTAGTCTACAAATATAGTTAGCCTGTCACTAACTCCATGGCCACTCACTGATATTCCAACAAAACTGTTCATAAGAAAGCTTCTAACGCCGTGGGCCATGCCTACTTACCTGAAGATTCACATAAATGATACCCTTACTGTCTGTTACTTCCCAATTAACTTGCGACACTTCGGTGTGGAAAGCCTCACATAACGTGTTCTTGATGACTAGTTATTTCACCTACACTAATTTCCTGATCATGTGCCTCTAATACAATGGAGAGTAACAGGCCAACATATGCAATTGCTTTCTGCCTACAAAAGCTCTCAAACAAGGAAAATACATTTTTGTCACGAGGTATGCAACGTGAATAATTTGAAAGCTGAATTACAACTGAACTCAGCTTTCCTGTACATCAGCTTCACGATGGAAGAGTGTGTAGTTGGCGATAGCAGCTGGCTGTCAGGCAGTAGGCAAGGACCCCTCTCTTCTTCCCTCTGAGGGTGACGGAGCCCTGGCCCAGGCTGCCCAGGGAGGCTGTGGAGTCTCCTTCTCTGGAGATATTCCAGCCCCGCCTGGCCGCGGTGCTGTGCAGCCTGCTCTGGGTGACCCTGCTTGGGCAGGGGG